CTTTTGAGCTCTCTTCATGTTCTCGTTCACTTCGCTGATCGGGATGGTGAAGATGATATGGTATGACAGCATCACCCTGGTCAGCAACACGACGAAGCACACGTAAGCAGCGTTTTCGAAATCAGTTAACTGCACCTCGGTTGGGCGGAACTCAACACGCCAGCCGATGGATGAGGCATCGATAGGCGGAGGCTTGAATCTAAACAATGGTCCAGTATTAAATTCAGCATTTTTTATCTCTTATATCCATGAAGGACTGCCTCTAGAAAAACAAAGTTCATCAAGCGGACCGGTTGCATGGTCGCTGTTGAAGAAAAATATAAAAAACTAGTTTCCTTACATATATAACAATGAGGGGAGAATTAACAGCAGATATTGTTGCAATAAATGGACAACACAAAAGTAAGCTGTAACTTACTCGCCTAATGAAAAATTGGATACAACCATTTTCAGAGGTCCGGGCTGCTCCTTACGAGTAAAATAAGGCCAGTATATCCTTCACAAATATTGTATTAGAAATCAGACGCACATCTCCGTGAAGGACTTTTGAATTTTTTATAGTACACGAGCATGTTTCAATTACCGAAGGTAAAAAAGAGCGTTGAGCATCTTCTAAGCTGCGTGTTACAGAGTAACTTCATAGTACCTGCTTCCTGATTTTCTGCAGGATACCTCGCTGTTAAGGACAACAGGATGATGATTTAAGCGTAAAACTACTCGGGTACAAAAACAGGCATGTCAAAACACCACGTCTTCTGATTTGGAAGTATTTAACTTGGAATTAAACGGTTGGCGTCAAAATCTTCAGACGGAAAATAAGCATGGAAATGCACCGAACATGGCTCTATAATCTGTAGGTGAGAATCTCTGGGAGAAAGCAGCTTGGCCAGAGCCGACAGAGTAAGCTTCACAACAGTGGTCATAGCTGAATCATGCCGTTACACAAGGTACCTCATGTTGAGCCAATTCGACGACTGGATAGTCTCGAAGTGTTCGCTGCTCAGCTTGTCGTCTTGCTCAATGCGGCCTTTGTATACCTGCAGGGGGTCACGGATGAACAGGTGCGCCACATGCTTGGCCAACATCGTGTCGACGCCGTTTTCGACCAGCAGCGAATAGGTGTTCGGGTCATACTGCAAGTCAACGTCGTTGTACGGCGCGTTGCACGGGTGCAGGTAACAATCAGTGGTGTCATAACGCGACTTGTCGATGACGAACATATTTTCGGACAGCGGACGCAGACCCCGCTCCTCGGCAGTGCGGTCGTCGACCGAAGCTGATATCACGTTCCATCGAGAGTCGACGTCTGCCAAGTAGCCGCGAAAGATCGGCGTCGATGCACTCAGAGCCAAAAGTATAGGTGTGATAGGTGTCAACTGATCGTACAGCCAACGTGCCTCCTCGACGTCGACCGCCTTTAAGCAAATAAAAATGTATTTGGTTTTAAATTTGCTGTTTGTGTGTGAATCTGATATGAATACTTCGGTTCCACTGTCACAGGCGAAAGCTTTCACTTACAGTTAGAACGTAGTATTTTCATGGCCAAATTTTCAACCTCGTCATTAATACCACGGCGACGCTAATGGAATAGCAATGTAACGCATAAAGAAACTCATCATAGACATCTGCTTTGTCTGGTGTCCCAAATCATCGACCGACAAATTCCCTACAGGTTACATTGATTGTGATCAGAACAATAATTATGATGACGGTGATTATTATGATCATCTTGACGTTGAAAATTCATAAAATCATTTTTTACTACACAATGCGATGCACGTTACCTGAGTGGTAGATGACAAACACTGACATTTCTGCGTATCCGGACTCATAGGTTTTTGTCAAGACAAGGTGAGTGGAAGCTTGGGGACAACAACGTGGCTGTTTCAGCAACTGCCGTGTTAGGCCGTTCATCACCATGATTGCAACAACCATAATGGTGAATGATTATGACGACTATGACGACACTGATGACAATAACTGCCAATATATCATACCATCGCTGTGATACACCATTTCTTTCGTGCGCTAGCTAGTGATAATGAAAGCAACAAAAAGTGCGGTTTTTACACGGAACGCTAATAAAACATTCAAAACATTGAATTAAAATCCTAAAAAGAAAATAATTCTAGTCCCTCTTTCTTGTCTTGCTAACAAAATTAACTCTGGTAACTTCTAAAAAACTGAAGTTGATCCTAAACTTACGAACAATATCCTAATACCTAAACTTTAAATCACATAAATAATATTTCTATTTACAGCTTTAATAGTCACAGCTCCGTAATAATGAATTTCGTAAAGAAAAAATAAAATATTGAATTAAGTTTTCCTCGTAACAATAATTTTCTGGTTATATTTACATACATACATACATACATACATAAATTCATACATACATCCATACATACATATACACATACAAACATAGATACATACGTACATACATATAATATAATAAACCGTGGAACAAGCTAGAGTAAATCAACTTGCAAAATCAGTTATGTGAAAAATAACGTCTTAAATAATAGGCCTTACTTAATTCTACTCTATCATAAAAACTTTAGTGAAAAGTTACAACCGCTGCTTAACATCAAAAATCATATTAACGTTACATATAAAAACTGTAATAAGCTGAATACCATGCTAAGTAATTCTACAGAATAATAACTCCCTAATTTAAGCATAAGAATTACCATGTAACTGCAGGAAAAATTACAGAGGAGAAACAGGGAACACCGTCAATCAAAGATCAAAGACGAACTTGCGAAGCTGAAGAAAATGAACAATCATTCAGTCATGCGACAATGTTAACCCTGACACACGATTAGAATCTGCTCGCATTGGATAAGCCTTGTCGACCTCGTCGCTAAAACACTGCTTAACAGCAGCACGAAGCAAAAGATTGCTTTGTGGCTCCAAACACAAGAATAGCTGTAAACGGCAAAAAACTTGAGAAATCAACTCACCTCGCTATCTTCAAGAACAAGAGTGAGATCAGGAAAAAAACTTCGATACTGGCTAGTTATCTGATTGGCCAATCTGACTGCACTGTTTATAAATAAACCGTATTTTATGCACCACGATTCTGCAAATTAACTTCGTGCACGCGGTGAACGTCAACCTCTACCAAACCCAACAAAAAATCAGTTGCTGTGACCTGCACTCGCTGACCGTTGTTTCCTTTAGTGTCATGGTGTACTGCTCCGACTATGGGTTCTTGATTTAATACCATCAACAATAAATGGTAAAAAACACATAAGGCGCTTTCACTACCCGTGACTGTCATTTTGGTTACAGCAGGGGTTAGTTCCACGTCGAACGACAATGTGTATCCCTTCAACTAAAAAACAATCGGTTGCACTTTGGCATACATACCGTAGATTAGCAACATTGCTAACGGACTGGGACAACAAGTCAACAATAAAAACGTGAAGATTATGACGTCGCCCGCGAGCTGTCAACTCGAGGATACAATTGAATGGCATTACCATAAAAAAGGTAGACAATATCAAGTACGCGACAGTGATGCTGAAGTGAATTGGCGTATCGGACCGGCATCAGCGAATTGTTACAAGGTAAATGACATTTGGAAGGATCAGACAAATGAACAGATAAAAAAATCATCATTCTGAAAGCAGCCGTATTCGCCTCGTTCATGCATGGTCTCGAAATACCCGTCATCTTGAAGCATAAGTAATGAAGCTCGTTCAGACGTGTCAACAGCGCTGTGCTAAAGTAGCCTCAAAGAACTACAGTTCTATAGGGTCAAGAAGAAACAGGCGCTGAGTCCCACTGGCTTGAGAAAACAATTAGATGAAAAAAGACACCGGTGTCTTGCTAGGTTTGATAAAACAGAACAAAAAATCAATGGAAACATGTTCAGAGGTTTCCTCGCCTAGACATTGTGAAATCTTGCAATCGTTGTGACGCGTTGGAAGATGATGCAATACAAAACGCTTGGAAGGCACAAACACTTGCGAAAAGGAATATGACCTCTGTCGTAGCAGCGCGTTGCCGAATGTTATTTCTAACGGTCAGACATAACAAATTTGTGTTAGGTGTTACTCTGCTGCCCGAACCTTTACAACCTCAGACGAAATGACAAAGCAACATCTGAAAATCAGAAACTGATTTGTATTTACGGCGCAATTACATAACTGCAAAGTAACATGGTCCGAAAGAAGTTATTAATATAACCTTTAACGCAAAACTAACGATGTGAAAATTTAAACACTTAGTGATAAAGCAGAAATAACGTCAGCCGCGAAATGCAGATCCGATCACTTGCCACATTTGTCAAAAAACTTTTTAACGTTTCCACGATCGTGGATCGGTTACAGTGCCGGTAGCGCGTGAAGACGGTATACGCTTTATAATCTTAATGGCCATTTATAAAATCTTC